TTTTTTTTTTTTTTTTTTTTTTTTTTTTTTTTTTTTTTTTTTTTTTTTTTTTTTTTTAGGGGTGGATTATTGTCCAGCTTTGACATCAACACATATGCCAGTTCTCAATAGATCTGTCCGAACAAACCAAGATAGTCGATGTGTCCCAAGGCATGGGAGGACATCACGATACATGGATTGTGTTCTTGGAAACCAAGATGACAGTGAGATGCGATGTTGTGTTGCACACATTGAACATGCATGCACAAATGTTGTATATGGCTGACAAGCTGTGTTCGGTTAGTAAAGAAAGTCTGGTGGCAAAAAATGGATAGGGGCTTGAGTTCTCCTTAAGATTGGTAATTAATGCATCGATGGTGTACAGATTTATTTATTTATTTAATACTTAAATAGCTATTGAAAATATAACTTAGATAATTATGTGGGAAAAGGCAAGAAGAGGACAAGACAACGAGTAATTAAGTAATGTTATGGACGACTAACCCAAAGAAAATATTTTGTAATTGTCCTCAACCAAACAAGACTTAATTTCTCGACATCATCAAAACACACCGTTTTGGCGTTATAAATACCAAAAAATAAAAATATTTATTTTTCATCTGGGAAGGGCCAATAATTGATTAGATAACGAAAACGACGTCGGTGGATGGTGACAAGTGATGGGTGGTGTGAGGGTAGATAGTACCAACCAATGCAATAAAAAGATAAAAGAAAATGAATAAACAATTAATCAACAATTTATATATTTTTTTATTCCTTTTCCCTGTATTCCTCGACTCATATTATATATTTTTTTATTAATCATTCCAGTTTTGAAATTAGAATTTTGTGTTCTTAATAATAAAAATACGTTTATTGAGATTGATCATATATATTGTACTAAGCCAAGGCAGTTTTGAGAAATTAAAATATTGTTTCAATAAATAAATGTAAGTGAAAATAATTTATTATTTCTAGTAACTTGCCTCATCAAATTAAGTTACTAAATTAAACATGTTATATATTATGGTATAAAAAAGATTAATAAAGAACCATTAATATAATTGAAACAGTAACACCAAAGGAAAGAAGGCATATGGAGGATTTAGACAGCTTTAAATTGAGTGAAATTAGCACTAAATCAAAGGCTTTTGTACTAAATTAAACACTTTTGCATTAAATTTTCGATTAATTTGAGCCCAAAACTGAATAAAACAAAATAAAAATAGGAAATTCTTATTCTCCTTTGGTGGAACTAAAACAACACTAAATCAAAGGCTTACATGGGTTCACCATCTCCCCTTCCACTTCACTTGTGGAGCTAAAAGAAGGAGCTACAAACACAGAATTATAAACTTTCGAGCTCCCAAACCGATTCGTACTAGAACAACAGAAAATAGTATCTTCCACGACCGAATCAATAAACCCATTATTATGATTATTATGATTATTATGATTATTATTATTATTATTATTTCTCGTTGGCTGATCATCAGCCGTTGATGATCTCACACGGGTTCTGTTCTTGATGATGGCATGTTGAATCAGACGGTGGAGCTTGGGGGTGTGTCCAAACAAGGAGTAGGAAGGTTGTTGTTCATATGGGAAGTTTGTCTTTGCGGTTCTTCCTCTGAGAAGCCTTGCAGCTCTGTCATAAGCCATGGCTGCATCTTCGGGTCTATCGAACGTGCCAAGCCATAGCCTGAGGTTCTGTGAGGAGACTTTGATCTCTGCGACCCATCTTCCAGAAGGGCGTTGTCTGACTCCCAAGAACCTTCTTCTCCCATGGCTGATCTGTTGTTGAAGAGGGGAATTGGAGGTGTGTGTGGCGGCCATTAATGGCAGTGATCGAGTCTTGGCTTGCTGGTAGAAAGAAAAGGAGAGGGTTGGTTGGCAGCTAGGTGTCAGCAAAGTAGCATCCTCTGCATATTATAGGCTTGCAAAGGAATTTATAGAACTCTAAATTAAAAGACTTTATTTGTTGTTTTATTGGGAGGTTCTTTCCCTTCGGTTTGGGAATAAATCATGTGCATTTAGCCCTATGGTTATACCATTTGTCTTTTTTAACAACTTTATGCGCATTTTTTGAAATGTAGTACTAACGATTCTATCCATACATTAATACACTAATAAAAAGAGTGCTTTCAATAAAATTAGTTTAAAGGTATTTTTGAAACGGGGTATCGATGATTCTGTCATGAAAGTGCTTTTAAAATAAGTTTTATGGGTATTTTTGAAATGGGCACTAACAATTTTGTCCATACATAGGATGATATGAAACTGGTACTAACGATTCTTTCCATATACTAATGATAACAGTACTTCCAAAATAATGACATTTTTGAAACATGGTACTAATGAATTTGTCTATGTACAAAAAAAATTAAGGGTATTGGTAAAACTTTTAAAAGGTCGATGATATATTTTAAAATCGAAAAACATGAACTTTTGGGACGTGGGTCCGTTCTCTTAGGAATGTGTATGGCATATCCAAATAAGATAGAGATAGAAAGGCAATAGGTTAGAAAACTCACAAGTTGGCAAGTTGATGAGCTGGGGTTGATGAATATTATAGTTGAAAGTAGTTGGAGAAAGCTCCAAAGCAAATGAGGAGAGTGACAATAATTAAGTGTTTGTGAGCTCAGATCAATACCTTTAGAGTGTAACTCCAAGTGCTTCCAAACAAAACTCCCATCTCAAACGCCCCAAAACAGACACAACCTGGTCTTGTCTTCTTACTTTGTGCCCATCTCCACCTGCTTTCTACATCTGTCCTCTCCCACTCACTGCCTCGCTACAACATGCTCTTGTTCTTTACTTTTGAACCCATCTTTATATGATTGGCTAAGTATACATAGATTCGTATGATGCAAATATTTTTATGACATCGAGGAAAGAGACTTTAGAACTTTGTAGGAAAGTCGAATAACTTTGACCATAGTGAAATTCATAAGAAACAACTATTCCTATTTTGGTTCTCATATTCGTTGCTATGAACGACGATGAACTACGTTTTATACTGAACACGATTCCATGAATAGTTTCAGTTGAGAAGATTCTGTTAGAAACCATGAATCTCAATAATGGAACAATATTGTCTACTTTGAGCATATTGACCTCATATCAATGGAGATGTATTAATCTATGATCATCCCCTTAATTAGTGATGTGAGACTCCCCAACAACAATCTTCAACTTATTGGAAAGAAGTCAGTCTAACTATATTTGATCACTCGGCCTTGACGACGGACCGAATTTATTATCTTCTTATCAATCCAAATGGTCCAATGAAAGTAGGGATAAGAGTTGGTTTACTACCCAAATATCAAAACAAAACCAAACCCTTTATTGGATGGAAACTCGGGGCTCAAAATTTAGGCCCATATTTCATAAATTTCTTAACAAGGCAAGTAACTCTTTGCTAGAAATGGGCGGGACATGAATGATCTAACCGTTTTTGCCGTTCTCTCTTTCAATCTTCGTCTGCCTACCGCGGGAGAAATCACCGATGGATTACAGAGCTTTGGACTCAATTGCTGTGACTGACATCAAAGCTCTCGGGATTGCTTCTGAAGTTGCCGACAAACTCCATGGACTTCTTGCAGAAATCATTCGTAGCTACGGTAATGGCTCTCCCGAGACTTGGTGCCACATCTCCAAGCGAATTCTTAGCCCTGACCTTCCCTTCTCCTTCCACCAGATGATGTATTACGGGTGTTACAAACACTATGGTTCTGACCCGCCCGCTTGGATGCCTGAGCTGTGAGTTCGTCGAATACTTTGGATTTCTCATTTTAGTTGAAATCCCGCCATACCAGCATCTTGTCTCGGCTATGGGGGTTGATTAAAGATTAGCTAGCTTTTTGGAATTAATTGAACTAGCTGCTAGCACTACTCAAAAAGGTTGTAATTGTAAAAATATCAAACGGGATGCTAAGATTCCTGGGAAATTTTCCCCTTGTTATTGTGAAATCTCATTTGATGCATCTTTATGATTAGGGAGAGTGCAGTTTTCACAAATGTTGGGCAGCTATTGGACAGGCGAGGGAAGGAGTTTCTGGGGTCAAATTATAAAGACCCCATAACGAGTTTCTCCTCTTTCCAGGAGTTTTCAGTTTCAAACCCTGAGGTATATACTGCCATTTTTGAAATAAAGTTTGTAATTCATCTTTGTTTCTCAAAATATTTGAATTAGAATAGCTATTCGGAAGATACAACAGTTTCCTATCCCCTGTTTGGCAGGTCTATTGGAAAGCCGTGCTAGATGACATGCAAATAACTTTTTCTAAACCTCCAAAATGCATCTTGCAAATGAATGATTCTCCAGATTATCAATCTCCATGGCCTGGTGGTCAATGGCTTCCTGGAGCAGTGTTTAACCCAGCCAAGGATTGCTTATCTTTAAATGAGAATAGGAGTTTGGATGATGCAGCACTCATTTGGCGTGATGAAGGATGCGATAACATGCCCGTGAAGAGATTGACACTCAGAGAATTGCGTACAGAGGCTTGGTATATTACTGTCTTTATTTTTTATTACAGGCTAGCGTATTCCTTAACGGAGTTCTTAGAATATAGATGTTAAAATTCAGTGCAAGAATTTTTCAGGCCAATATGCTCTGCACTGGGGAAATGTTAGCAATTTTTTTCTTTTTGTGGCGGCAGTGATTTTTAAAATGGTATTGGATTCATATATTGCATTAAAGGTCCTTTCTCATAAAATAATTCTGTGGGTATTAAATTTGTAGGTTAGTAGCACATGCTCTCAACTCACTAGGTTTCGAGAAAGGAACTGCTATAGCAATTGACATGCCAATGAATGTAACTTCTGTAGTCATCTATCTTGCTATAGTTCTGGCTGGTCATGTGGTTGTCTCCATAGCCGATAGTTTTGCTGCACGGGAAATATCCACAAGAGTCAATATATCAAAAGCAAAAGCTATTTTTACTCAGGTAAGCACAAATCTCCTTTGAAAAGAGATGCACCATGCCTTGCGATGGTTTAATGTCTCAAATGGAAAGTTTGAGCTGGTTGGAAGTTTCAGTGGGTTCCTTTTGATGAGGCTTGTTCAGTCAATATAAACAGTACATATGTAGCCCACTGTTAAACCCATCTCACTTGGTAGCTAGTACAGCAAAGTTCCTCCTTCGGGGCACGGAACCTTAGGATATACCTCTGCAATATTGTGGCTTGTGTTCTTTGTGTTAAAAAATCCTTCAACATGTATGTTCTTAATGTTATTATCGTTTTATACTCAGACTTACATTTCTCTATTGAATTTGTACAATCAAAACCTTCTTATCTTACTGCAAAATTCAGGATCTTATTATTCGTGGAGATAAAAGTATACCCTTGTATAGGTGAGGCTACATTACTACATCATGAAGTTAGATATCTGGTCCTTTTCCTTTCCCTAAATACTGAAATGCTCTAGTAATCGGTTCAATATTGCAGTCGAGTTGTAGATGCTCAGTCACCTCTGGCAATTGTAATTCCCACCAGGAGCACTGGTTTAAGCATGAAATTACGAGATGGAGATATTTCTTGGCATGCCTTTCTAGAGAGAGTCAAAGATCTGAAGTATGCACTGTTATTTGTTTGTTTACGTGGATTTGGTGATTAGTTTCTTATTTATACTTCTCATGTTCAGATTTTTGCTCATTTAAAACTTTTTATTCCAATTTGACTCAAACACTTGACGTTTGAATTTCTTGAATTTCCGTTCCTCTATTTTTTCATAATGTGATGCCTTTGAAGGAGTGAAGGGGATATATCACCTTTTCTCCATCCCTGTTTGCAGTTTTTCGTCACCTTCTATAATTACTTACATTAGCTTCTTTCTCCATGAACTACCTGTCCACAAAATAAAAATTCTATAGGACCCCTGAATCCATCGACTGTTCAAAATATCTTATGCCGTCGGAATATTTTAAATTTCAATATGATTCTTGCAGAGGAGTGGAATTTGCTGCTGTGGAACAATCAGCAGAATCATTTACAAATATCCTTTTCTCATCTGGAACTACAGGTTAATTCAGGATTTGGTCCCTTAGCCTCATAACTCACTCTGTTCTTTTATTTCCATGTTCATGCATTTGAGACTTCCTTGGAAAAATGTTTTATTTTAGTTGGTTTCAAAATGCAATAATATATGTTGATATGTAAACATTATAAAGGAAGGTATGAGGTTAAACCGTTTCTGACCTCATTAGAACAAAACAAACTTCTAAGGAGTGCCTGTTTTGGTTTTGGTTTTATTGGTTGGCTGTTTATTTAGTAGGCATTGAACAGGGCTTAAGTTCTGAGGAGTGCCTGTTTGTTTCTTTTTCAGGAGAGCCAAAAGCAATTCCATGGACGCTTGTAACCCCTTTGAAAGCTGCCGCCGATGCATGGTGCCACATGGACATTCATAAAGGTGATGTTGTCGCTTGGCCCACTAATCTTGGGTGGATGATGGGTCCGTGGCTTGTTTATGCTTCACTATTGAACAAAGCTTCATTGGCATTATACGATGGATCCCCACTTGGTTCTGGATTCGTTAAATTTGTACAGGTAAACCCTTGATACGATATCACATTTTTCTTCCTAATCGCCTTTTCAATTTACAAAAGAAACAGCCTTTACAGAAGGCAACTTCGAATGACATCACAATCGAAATAGCATTTTTGCATATCACACATATTCATGGTCTTAGCTTTCTGTAGGATGCCAAAGTAACAATGCTTGGAGTGGTTCCCAGTATTGTCCGGTCATGGAAAAGTACAAAGTGCACATCTGGGTATGATTGGTCTTCAATCCGGTGAGCTTAAGTCTTTGCTTTCATTGTGTTTATGTTGCTTTTATACAACCCTTATGTCATTTAAGCTTCGAGATCAAATAGGTATATGCATATATAGAGTTCAATTTTAGTTCAGTTTTAATAGTTCAATTTTCTCCATGTTTCTGTTGCAACTGCTAGTTGTTTTTCCTCCACTGGTGAAGCATCTACTGTGGATGAATGCCTATGGCTAATGGGAAGAGCTGGCTATAAGCCTGTCATTGAAATTTGTGGTGGGACGGAGATCGGTGGTGGATTTGTTGCAGGGTCATTGTTGCAGGCTCAGGCATTGTCTGCTTTTAGCACACCAGGAATGGGGTGCAGTCTTTTTATTCTTGGCAATGATGGTTTTCCTCTCGTAAGAACTGATAAACTCTTTACTTTGGAGTGTGAGCTAATTAATGTCAATGGTGTTGAGTTGGAGAGAATTTGCATCGGTTCAAATGAATAGTTTTGAAATATTATGACTACACATATTTTTAACTCTTCTTTGATTCTCAGAAGTTCTTAAATATTTGCTTGTTTTTGCTTTATTTAAATGCATCTGAGTATTAAAAGAACGACAGTTTTTAGAATTGTTACCCCTAGATCATGAAGCGTTGAGATCGTTCTTTGCTAGTCCTCTCAATTGTCATGCATCAAATCGAGGGGTCTATATATTGAAAATTGCTAGTGCTCAAACACACAATTCTATCTTCCTCCCTCTGTAGCCACAAAATATGCCAGGAATTGGTGAATTGGCACTCGGACCTTTCCTGTTTGGAGCTTCATGTACTCTGTTGAACGCTGACCATTATGATGTCTACTTCAAGGGAATGCCCCGTTGGAATGGAATGGTACTCAATTTTTCTGATATGCCTTCCTACTTGAGATTTGTATCTTGAACCTACAATTTTACCACATACATAATTCCCTTAACAGGTGTTAAGAAGACATGGAGATGTGTTTGAGCGTTCTCCTCGAGGATATTATCGAGCACATGGTCGTGCAGATGATACTATGAATCTTGGAGGCATAAAGGTAATTTTCTTTTAGCTTCTCGTGATGAATATAATGTTTTAGCTGAGGCTCAATACTAACAAGCTAAGGCCATGACATGGGAACAAGGAGCTTTGACATTGTTGTTGATAAAATAGCTCTAAAATGGGGCAGCCATAGAGATCTGGTTTTGTTTTTTTTGTTGTTGCAGGAACTAAAACCAAATGCCTGTTTTCAAAACCACATGTGAATATCAAAATCAATCCCAAACGTGCTCATAATCTACCATATTTGACAATTGTATAGCATTGCCCCTTATGAAATTTACATGACCACACACAGGTATATTCAAGATCTTGACCAAAAAACCATTGTGTGTCATATGCAGGTGAGTTCAGTAGAGATTGAACGCATCTGCAATAGTGTTGATGAAAGCATCCTTGAAACAGCTGCGATCGGGGTACCGTCACATGGAGGAGGCCCCGAACAGTTGACGATAGCAATTGTATTCAAGAATCAAAGTGGAAGTACCCCTGATCCAAACAAGTTAAAATTGTGTTTCAATTCATCTCTACAGAAGAACCTCAATCCATTATTCAAGGTAGGATTTGTGCCAAGGTCATTGACTATTCTATGAAAGAAAGAGTATCCCCTAATTCATGTGCTGATGTGCCTAGGTTCACCGTGTGGTTCCTTACCCTTCCCTTCCGAGGACTGCAACCAACAAGGTCATGAGAAGAATATTGAGACAGCAACTTGCAGCTGAACACAGAGCAAAGCTCTGAATTGCAGACCTTGCTACACTTTATGAGTCTCTTCTTCTGCAAATTAGGCTCCCTCCTTACTAAGTAATTTATTCCTCAATCTTACAAATAAAAGAAGATTTGTACGTATTTTATGTAATATATATCAAATTTGTTAATTCTATTTTATTTTATTATTGAATATGTTCTTCAATATAAAATATTCCAATTTGAAATAATACATCCTATTTAATATTTTTTAAAATTAAATTTATAATACTACTTCCACCCATAAATTATTTTGTTAAACTTTTTAATGAATTAAAAGAAAATAAAAAAGAAAAAAGTTTTATTTACCATAATAATATATCCATTTAATAAGTGACGATTTGATGGCAAAAAAGAAATAAGTAAGTAAAGATTTGGTTAAACTAAAATAATGTGCCTCAAAATCGTCTCCTAATAAACGGCGACGTATTGGGCATTCGACCAGATTTGCACAAAATCCATTTCTGGCTTCGAACCTCCATGAACCCTTGGATTACGGTTCTTTTTTACTAGTTCTTGGGCGCGCTCTCCATCTCTGAAGTAGAAGAAGAAGAAGAGGAAGAGGAAGAACAATGGCTTCCTTTTCGCTAACTAACCTTGATTTGGCGACCTCTTTCCTCGGCCAAAATCTGTAAATTCCTCTTCGTTTTTCTCTAACTTGGGAATTTAATGAGTTATATAGCTTATTCCTTTGGTGTGTGTTTTGTTATTTTCCAGGTCTGGTCGCCTTAATAGGGCGAAGGGTAAACCATTTTGCGCATTGTTTAGGAGCCCTAAGTGTGTTTTGGATACACCATATGAAGGTATCTTGTATTCTTTTTCTTCGAATGAATTATCGAACAATTTCAATCCTGGATACTTGGTTTATATAGGCCTTCTATCTGTGAACTCCTGCGGCTGCAATAGAAATAATCAATTAAAAGTACGAAACCGTTGAGAGTCTAAAGTTTTGAGGATTTCGTATTGATTGACCCTTGCTGCTTGGATTGTTGCCCTTCAATCAGATTTTCTTTGGATAATTTGAAAGTGATGTGATTGGGAGTATCCTTGTTTCCATAAACTTATGTTCCAAGGAGCATTATCTTTTTTGTTATGAAACCCTAACCGATTTGCCTCTCAGTATTGATAGGAAAATTGATATGGCTAGTGAATTATATAGCTTGGACAACATTAAGTTTGATATAATTAATTTGATGTATATGTCTTAGAATTATCCTTAACATTACCTAGCTGCTATAATGTTAAGCTGAAATTTTTTAATTTATCGCAGGTAATGTCACAAAGTTCCCTCGAATTCGTGTTTGGGATCCATACAAACGCCTTGGTGTAAGTACTGCTGCTTCAGAGGAAGAAATTTGGAGTGCACGAAATTTTCTTTTGCAGCAGTATTCGGGTCATGAAAGAAGTGAGGAATCTATAGAAGCTGCTTTTGAGAAAATATTGATGGCAAGCTTCCAGCATAGGAAAAAGACAAAGATTAATTTGAAAACCAGGTTGAAGAAGCAAGTAGAGGAGTCCCCACCATGGTTTAAGAACTTGCTGAATTTTGTAGAACTTCCTCCGACTGATGTTATCTTCAGAAGATTGTTTCTTTTCGCATTTATGGGTGGCTGGAGTATTATGAACTCAGCCGAAGGTGGACCTGCTTTTCAGGTAAGTTCAATAGTCCTCCAGTAGACATATATGTTTCTTTTTAATGTTATCTTAATATATATGTATAAACATATTTTTAGTGATATCCCAAAGGCTACTGCTTCTGTTGGGAAGTAATCTAAGGCTATAAAATTGGAACTGCATGTTCTCAAAATCAGTTAGGAGCGGTAAAAATTATGAGTACCTGGGAACTTGCCACGAAATGGATACTTCTCCCTTGTCACGTCCATAGTTCCTTCTCCAAATAATAATAATAGTACTAATCAGTAGTAACAACAATACAGAAAAGCAGAGAGTTCTCGGTTATGAGTCCATCTTCACCAGCCACTATAATACCCTAGCCTTTCCTCGGGGATTTTTGTTTTTTGTGACCGTAACAGCCCTAGCCCACTGCTAGCAGATATTGTCCGCTTTGGCTCGTTACATATCGTTGTTAGTCTCACGGTTTTAAAACGCGTTTACTAGGGAGAGGTTTTCACACCCTTATAAGAAATGTTTTGTTTCCCTCTCCAACTGAGGTGAGATCTCACTATCCACCCCTCTTGGGGGTCAGCGTTCTTGCTGGCACACCGCTCGGTGTCTAACTCTGATATCATTTGTAAGCCTAAGCCCACTTCTAGCAGATATTGTCCATTTTGGCCTGTTACATAACGTCGTTTGTCTCACAATTTTAAAACGCGTCTACTAGGGAGAGGTTTTCACACTCTTATAAGAAATGTTTTGTTTCCCTCTCCAACCGACGTGAGATCTCACTATCCATCCTATTTGGGGACCCAGCGTCCTCGCTGGCACACCGCTTGGTGTCTGGCTCTATACCATTTGTAACAGTCCAAGCCCTACCACTAGCAAATATTGTCCACTTCAGTCTATTACATATCGCCATCAACCTCACGGTTTCAATACGCGTCTTCTAAGGAGAGGTTTCCACACCCTTATAAGGAATGCTTCGTTCCCCTCTCCGACATGCGGATCTCACAATCCACCCCCTTGGGAGTCCAGCGTCCTCGCTGGCACACCGCCCGTTGTCTAGCTCTGATAACATTTGTAACAACCCTAGCTCACTGCTAGTAGATATCGTTCGCTTTTGCCCGCTACATATTGTTGTCAGCCTCAGTTTTGAAATGCGTCTATTAAGATTGTGAGATCCCACATCGGGTGGAGAGGGGAACGAAGTATTCCTTATAAAATGTGGAGATCTCTCCTTCACAGACGCATTTTAAAGTCGTGAGACTGACAGTGATACGTCACGGGCCAAAACAGTAATATCTGTTAGCGGCGGGCTTAAGTTGTTACAAATGGTATTAGAGCCAGATACCGGATGGTGTGCCAACAAGGACGTCGGGCCCCCAAGAGGGTGGATTGTGAGATCCCAAATCTATTGGAGAGGGGAATGAAACATTCCTTATAAAGGTGCTCTTCTTAGCAGATGCGTTTTAAAACGTGAAATTGACAGCGAACGTAACAAGCTAAAGTGAATAAAATATCTACTAGCGGTGGGTTTGGTCTATTACAGTGACCAAGATTTAGTGTTTAAATATTCAAATTCTAGATTATCATCTTGGGAAAATGGACGTGTTAGCTCTGGATGTCTTGCCAGATTTTTTCAAGATGAGAAATAGGGTTGATCGTGCAGATTTAGCATTATGAGTATGTTTGGAATGACTCGAGTGTTCTAAAAAAAAAAAAAAAAATCTGTAAGTTGTAACTTTTTTTTTTTCAAAGCAAGCCGACCCGTCATTTGGATGCCTAGAAGTTTTGAAAAATATACAGATTAAGATAAAGGATATGCTTTAGGGAGCTTATCTTGCCAATCAATTAACCATTTCAACAGAATCCAACCTTTGCATTTATCTATATTCTATCATATTAATTATTAAGTAAGGGACTTAGCAGGATTTCTTGCATCTTAACTTTATTGCTTTTCTTTAACTTTATTGCTTTTCTTTAACTTTATTGCTTTTCCTCTAGTCGAGCACTTTTCAAATCATTCGACCTTTTTTTCTCTTAGTCTTTGATTTAGATAGAAAATTGTGAGGAATCATCTGTATGCTGTTGACAATGAAATTGCACTTGAGATCAGTTCTACTTCTTTGGCTGTTCCAGTTTATGACGCATTCTGTCTTTTTTAGCTTTTAATAACATTCGCATCAAATTTGGATACTGTATATATCTTTTACGCCCTTGTCATCTTTGTAGTTAAACTTTGTATATCAACCAATGCAGGTTGCAGTGTCCTTGGCGGCTTGCATATATTTTCTAAACGAGAAGACTAAAAGTTTGGCTCGGGCATCCATTATAGGGTGAAACTTTCACAAACAGCTGATTTCATTATATATCTGAAAATAAAAATCCAGGCACTCATCTTCTCTGTCCTGCTGTGTTTGCAGACTTGGTTCTCTGGTGGCTGGTTGGGTATGCGGTTCATTGGTGGTTCCAAGTATTCCTTCGTTTCTACTGCAGCCAACGTGGTCGCTCGAACTACTTACATCTCTGGTAGTATACATCTTCTTGTTTCTGTCCTGTACTTTTCTCAAATAGATGTTTCTTTCTTGTTTCTGCTTAGCTTATGATCAGGTAGTAACTAGGAATGGAATGGATTTAATGGGAGAATTTTGAGATATTATTCATTGATTAGGGAAACTTTTTTAAAATTATACAAAAAAAAAGTTATCAAATGTGTTGTTTAGGGAAACATGTTTTATTATTTTTTCTCTCAAAATTTTTCTTTATATTGGAATAATGATTGCGTAATGACACGAAAAATCTATCAAATCAATATCTTTCAAAGGCACCCGTGAATTTGTGCAGTGCCTTATCCGCCACTTATAGAATAAATATCAATTTGAAAAAGACAAACAGATCACAATAATTAATTTCGGAAATAATTTGTCGAAATTAAATTTTATATACATTTGTATTTTGTATGTGTATTGTAATTATGAGTATGACGTGTGGGGACAAACGAATATCGGATTTCTTTATTTATCTTAATTCTTATCTATGTTTTAGTATTAATAAAATAAGAGGTCTTGAATATTTTGGCCACGTGTCACTTGGAGCATTACCTGTCATCATTATTTTACCAATGGGATGTCATGCTGGCTTCAATTGACCAAGACAACCAATTAACAACCCCAACTATCTTATCCATCATTCTTCTTTTTATTTAAGAATTTTTATTTAACTATATAGATTTATTTTTTTAATTCTTAAGTATAAAAAAATAGTAGAAACAAAAAGGGTCAATTATTTTTAGTCAAATCATAGCTTAAATAAGATAAGGAACTTCATACCTCCCCATTGAAAAAAAAAAAAAAAGAGATAAAATTTAAAAATTTGATTAATACAAAATTGATATAAAGAATATTAATAATAGTGTATTACAAATTTATTCTTCACATTAATCCCATTATATTAGGCGTCTAAAATGAAGAATAGGGTCAATTGTTTTGACGTGGAGGACAGACCGACCTGTCGGCAGTTACAGTTTTATTAAAATATATATTTTAATTCCATGAAACCATTTCGGTTGCAACATATGAGAATGTCCAACAACTATTGCAACAATTCTTCAAATTTTAAATACAATTAATTCAAATTGACTAAATTACCCACAGACTTTCCTCCAAATTACACCTTTAATTATGCCGTTATTGTCTCTCTCACACACTCTCTCTCCCCATACACATATTTGTAATTTAGCATTTCTTGTGTGTTATTGTTTTCACATTAATGGTGGGGACACAATGCATGACCTCTGGGTAGTTTGATATGAGCACCTTCTGTTTCTGATTATTCCACTCAACTTGGAATCCTTTGTATCCCACGCCTGTTCCCGAGAAACTAAGTTTTACCTTGGTGGTGGGTCCCATTCTTTCCAACTCTTTCATATCTGTATATAATTAAAAATTATTATTTTGAAACCTTAGTAATAAATATTTTGTATTGTCAACTGTACACCCAAAACTTGTATAATCCTATGTGATTTATGTGTATTTCCATTGCAATCTGTTAAATTGATATCATATTAACATTTACAGTTAAGGGATTCAATGTTTCATTTAGAAAAAAGAAGAAAATATTAATGTTTGCGGCAGTTCAAACACTTGATAACAGTTCAAATGGGGGCTGTTGCAACCATTGGAAATGAAACAGCCGAAAATCCCGTGAGCAAATGGGAAAGATAAAACCCCAATACGTAATTTATTGAGGTGTAGAAGGAATGGATCCGCAATTCCCAAAGTTTCGGCTCAAGATTTTTTCCTCTTACGAAAATAAAAATCTCATCCCATCTTCACCTTCCAAATTCTGTTTCCTTTTCGACTATTTTCCTATTCTGGTTCATTATCTTGTTCAAATTGAAGCTACACACATGGAGCAAGCCACCAAATACGGTGGTTGAGAAACGCGGGAGGGTGAGATAAGAATCTTCCATAAACTCTATGAGACCCCGTCACGTCGACATTTGCCTCCTTTGTTTTCCACCACGCCCCCTCCACTTGATTCCATATTTCAAAATTGGAACAAGGAACATGGATTAAAATATTCTCGACTGTGAAATAGAGAGAGAGAGAAAGAGGGGTTTGTTTCCTTTTTCTTTCTCGGTGGTGGAATTAGACCCATCTATCTCCTTTTACTTTATAAATCATTCTTTTAGTGGCTTTCGGAGGAAGTAATCGTTGATAGGGGAAACAAACACAGACGGCGGGGATTGAGATTTGAGAAATTCCGGTCCATTCTTCTTGCCCATTCTTTCCTATTAATACCCAGTTTCTGATTCTTCTTCTTTTTCCGTTTTTGGGTTTTATTCTTTTCAATGGTTTGCATGATGGGTTTTCGAGTTTTTGGGTTTTGAGTGGGGCGTCGAAGAGGGGTGGAGGGCTTTTGAGGTAAAAGCTAGTTTGGGGGCGGAGGAATGACTTGGAGGAGAGTGTTGAAGTCCGTGCAGGCACTTTTGGCCCACGGTTCACTCTTCTGTTTCACGCTCTTGCTCGTTCTCAAGCTCGATCATTTCGTCTCCCACAGTTGGTGGTACTGTTATCTACTTATTTCTTTCTTTCTCTCTTCTTCGATCTCTCCAGCGTTTCAATTTCGTTTTGCTTTGGATAACTGTTATTTTTCACATTCCCTTGCGGTTCACTTTGATTAGGGATTGAGATGATCTTTCTTTCCGTTGTATTCTCACAATTTTTTGTGTGCAGGGTTATTTTTTTCCCACTTTGGGTATTTCATGTCGTTGTTGCTCGGGGAAGGTTCTCATTACCTGCCCCATCTCTTCCTCATAATCGCCATGTAAGTCAGTAATGGCCAATGCATTTTGTTGAGCTTGACTCTGTTTTCTATTTGGTACCAAATGGTTCCTTTGATATGACATCATTTGTGAGTTTGCTATGTGTTTCTGTTGAACAGTGGGCACCGTGCCATGCCGTTGTCTCCACGCCTTTGCTTGTAACATTTGAATTACTTCTTTGTATATACCTCGAGAGCCTGTCTGGTATGCTCATATTTTTATGAAGTTAACTGTTCAAGAATGTTGAAGCATTATTTCCAGTTCAACACTTCATTTTCATTATTCAACAGGGTATTGTTTGGTATGTTTATTGATGCAATACCGTTTCTTGCAGTTTATGGTTTTCCTGCTGTGAATTTGAAGATTGTCTTTCTACCGTTGCTGGCTTTTGAAATCATCATTTTAATAGATAATTTCAGGTACTTGTTCATTTATCTTACTTCATTAAATGTTGTATAGATTGAGGTATCAATGCATTTTTATTGTATTTTTTTTTTTTTGTCTTATCTGATGCTTTAGTCTTTTAACTATGAACTTTATGGGTTGTATCCGTCTTCACCTCTGTACTTGTGAGAATTATGTGAGATCCCACGTCGGTTGGAGAGGGGAACAAAGAATTTTGTATAAAAGTGTGGAAACCTCTCCCTAGCAGACACGTTTTAAAGCCTTGAGGGAAGCCTGGAAGGGAAAACCCAAAGAAGACAATATCTACTGACGGTGGGCTTGGGCCATTACAGTTGGTATCAAAACCAAGCACCGGACAATGTGCCAACAAGGAGGCTGAATCCCGAAGGGGGTGGACACCAAGCGGTTTGCCAGCAAAGATGCTAGGCTCCGAAGGGGGTGGATTTGGGGGGGTTCTACATCGATTGGAGAGGGAAACGAGTGCCAGCGATGAGTGAGATCTCACATCTGTTAGAGAGGGGAACAAAACAATCTTTATAAGAGTGTGGAAACCTCTCCCTAGCAGACACATTTTAAAGCTTTGAGGGAAAGCCCGGAAGAGAAAGCCTAAAGAGAACAATATCTGCTAGCGGTGGGCTTGGGTTGTTACAAATTACCTCATCTAAACTGTCTTGTGTGGATTCTTGACGTTCACCTATTAATTCCAACAACCCAGATGGCCTAAGAATGATTGGATTGTGATATTAAGTTGAACCAGAGATTCATACACGGAAAGCACGTTTGATGAATGAATAGTTGTTTGTATAGTATGATGCAATCAGCAGTTCAAATAATCCTTCTCAACAAGCTTGCTGGCTTTTCCTACTTGCTCTGCTTTTGAATCTGCACAAGGTTATTGTGAGTTGGTGTGACCTTAACTTTCTTATCTTTTCAGAATGTGTAGATCACTAATGCCTGGTGACGACGAAAGCATGAGCGATGAGGCAATATGGGAAACTCTTCCTGTAAGTATTATTAGATTCTCAATCAATGAACTTTTCTGTGAGGCCACTCCTTTAAATTAATGCTTGAGAGTGGTAAAATACATGATGTATTGAAGCTTTTTGAGTTATATGTCCCCTTGAAAGAACTCAGCACATTCTATATTCTCTGCGCTGAGATCAATTATCTTCTGGCTGCTAGTATTTAGCCTCGTAGTGTTTGTGCCATAAAATTCATCTCTCAATCTTAATATTTTATGGTTTGTTGCATCATTAAATTGTTTCATTCGCAATATCTTGATTATGTGAAGAGGGAAACCTGTACATTGACTCTAGTTTTGGTAGTGGACATAGAGGATGTTGAGACTGAATGTTCTCATACAATTTGACAATTCTTAACATTAACTTTTGAGATAAAAACAACGTCCATCAGACAAACATTAAGTGTTAGATTATTTGATAGCTAGTTTTCTTATGATTCCAGGGATTGAGTTCGCTCTTAGGATGCGATCTTCAATTTTCTTAATGAACGTAGTGAGGTTGGATATTCTTGCTTTTAGAATGCCAACATCTATTTTCTAAAAGAAGCAAAATTTTTAGAAAAAAGGAGATGATAATGATCAACCAGATGCAGATTCAGATAATGTACTCTTCTCTTGCAAATATCAAACGAATATAATCACCCTTCGAGTATTCTTGGAAGAACGTATCTTGTATTCTGTTTTAAATTCAGATTAGGATCTTGTTGGAGACGAGTTAATTTTCTTCTCTGCTTCTGTAGCACTTTTGGGTTGCTATTTCAATGGTCTTCTTCGTTGCTGCTACAGTGTTTACTCTACTGAAGCTATGTGGTAATTTTTTATTCTTATTTTTGCTTTCTCTTTCCCTATCCTTTATATATGAAATGTGACCTTAGTTAACTTCATCCAGGTCTGAAAGTCACCATTCTTGTATGGAACTGCGTTTTGCTTTGCGTTTATATTAATCCTTAAATAGCCATTTCCCAGATGTTAGATGCCATAGTTTCTTTTGTTTGATTTAAAATAATGTGTGGCTATGTGGAGGGTTCTGTATGGATGTAGCGTTGTGGTTTAGAGTGCTCGATTGTCGACGGCATGGATCTATTTAATATGCATATATGTGTATTGGTAGGCATAAGTTTTTCTTGGTGATCAATCTCTAATTTGATAAAAATTAATTGCAGGGAGTGTTGGTGCTCTTGGCTGGTGGGACTTATTTATTAACTTTGGGTAACATTTATGCACATATTGTGTTAGAATGTCCTGTTTTTACATTTTGCTTACATCTACCATTATGGACCAACCCAATTTAATTGTTTTCCTCAATATTTTGGTTGCAGCATTGCGGAGTGCTTTGCGTTTCTCGTCTGTACAAAGTGGTCTAATCCTGTAATTCATAGAAATATTCAAACAAGAGAAACTTGTTCATCATCAGCCGTAGTTAGATATCTAGATTGGAACAACGGTCTGATGGTTTATCCAGAGCAGGATCAGCATCAAGACAGAATGTGTGGCCTTCAAGACATTGGCGGCCATATCATGAAAATTCCCATAATTGTTTTTCAAGTCCTACTTTGCATGTATTTAGAGGTATACTGCACATTCAATGCATCAACCCTGAGTTCAAAACATGTGAAGTTACCAAATTGACTATTATGTTCTTGTATATAATCTTGACTTATCGACATTTCAGGGAACACCTGCGAGCGCAAAACATATACCACTTCCTGTCCTTTTCTCGCCCCTTTTTATACTGCAAGGTGCTGCTGTTATTTATGCTGCATCTAGATTGTTAGAGAAAGTTATACTTCTCTTAAGAGGTGGATCAGGCACCGCCCCGCATCTCAGTTTTTCTGCTAGAGCTCATGCCTTCTTGGAGTTCTTTCATCATGGTTCGAGGTGATATCCTTATTTGAGTGTTATCCCTTTCTCTTCCTGAGGTTTTAGCTCTTTTGTGAAGATGATGTTATCAAGTCCATGAAATATGAACTTACTTGATATAGTGAAGACAGGCTATTGGGATGGTGGTCAATTGATGAAGGCAGTAGAGAGGAGCAGGCACGACTGTACCATGAGGGTGCCTCAGGGTTCGTATTTTTTCCCTTCCGAATAGTTTTGTGAGAACTCTACAAACCTGAACGCGTGCGACTGATTGAACATGTGAAAAAATGTTCACTTTTAGAATATCAGCAGGGAGAAGTTCATTGGTTTATTGGGTATGAACAATGCAGGTACAATACGTTTAGTGGATATCCTCCCGAGATTGTGAAGAAGATGCCCAAGAAAGATCTTGCCGAGGAGGTAAGCATCGTTATCGTTATATTCATTTGCTTCGTAATTCATTAAACTATAAGAGTAAATGAGTCGTCGTTGATCTTGTTGATGCTACTGCTAGTTTTATTTGGGCTGTATTTGATCTTCGAAGCTGTCATACAGGTCTGGCGCCTTCAAGCTGCATTAGGGGAGCAAACAGAAATCACCAAATACAGTCAGCAGGAATATGAAAGACTTCAAAATGTAAATTCTCCCCCTTTTCTTCTAGACAGCATTTTTGTGATCTTATTCTATCTTCCCTACTGTCATATCATTATATGCTGAATTCATTGGTACGCCAATGATTTGAACAGGAAAAGGTGTTATGTCGGGTTTGTTTTGAGGGGGAAATTAGCGTGGTTCTTCTTCCATGTAGGCATCGTGTACTATGCAGGTATAACATATGCTATTGAACTAGTGTGTTTGTCTTGAAATTGAGCTATGCAGCCATATCGTTACCTCTTCGAGCTTCACGAACAGTTGTGAATATTATTGCAGTACCTGCTGTGAGAAGTGTAAAAAGTGCCCAATTTGTCGTGTCTGTATCGAAGAACGATTAGCGGTATACGATGTTTAGATCATCCTTAACAAATCTGAAGGCATTGAAGTGAAGTGGTTGTTGATGATGGGTATGCGGGTAAGTGAAGAACTGGAAATGTTGATGGTTCATAATGAATGATTGATAGCTGATAAAGGAAAGCAGTTCGATATAGAAAATGCAGTTCGTCTGTGCTTCAAATGTAAATAATAAGTGGGAATTATAGTAGAAATCTAGTCAGTTACACGTGCACTGCATAATTCAGGCCCTTTTTTTTAGCTTAATTCTCCATGTATAGAATTACTTTAACTTCATTTGTAATCCAAGTTTTTTATGTTCGCCAAACACCAAAACCTCATACTTCTCATATTTCATGACTGAATCTAATTCTTTTGTCAACACTAATTAGCTGGTTTGACCTTGTTTGGTTTGTTTTTTTAATATAATTCCGACGTTTAAGAAGATAAGGTAAAGTCTTGACTAATTGGGTTATTTGTTGTTGAACGATCTGCAATGAAGAGGTGATCTCATGTTCTTCAAGAAATTCAGGTGAAGGCCTCTCGAGCTTGAGTTTCCTGGAGATCTTAGAATCAAATAATCAAGGTTGCTACCCTCGCTCTCGCGGATGAGGGGGCAGCCTCATAGCTAGCAAGATAAGTGGATAGGGCATAACAAAAAGTCTTCTATATTTACATTTTAAAATATTTATTCCTTTTGTTAAAAATGATTTTTTTATACTAATAATCCTTTGTCTCTACAATCTTTGTTTCCTTGTTTTTTTTTTTCTTTTTCTTTTTAATGTATCCATTAAAATGATTTTTTTATACTAATAATTCTTTTTCTTTTTAATGTATCCATTAATCGAGATTGTTAATAAAAAGTAATAATAAAAATTATTTGTAAATATATATATATATAGATATTACCAAAACATATTAAAATTAATTTGTAGCGAAAAAAGATTTTTTAATAAAATATCTTTCTTCTTTACCATGAAAAAAAAAAAAAAAAAAAAAAAAAAAAAAAAAAAAAAAAA